ACACACACTTTATGGATGATTTTTTAGGGTTAAATTTCTAGTATTATACATGAATAAATAAAGTAGTTAGAAATTCTACAAATACAAAGATTTTAATTATATGATATGTTAACAAGTTAATATTACAAACCATGAAAGCAAAGTAATGTTTTAAAAAAAGATTTAATGTCAAAATGTTTTGAACTGCTAAAACTGTTTGGGAAAGTTTGTCCGCTTCCAAATTTTACAAGTTAATATATACAGAGTAATCCCTTGGTTTATTCATCAAAACCAACAAATGTGTCTTTTCACACAACGTGACGACCAAAGCACTGATATCTGCATGTTTTAAACTAGTCTCTGAGTCACAAAAGTGCCTTTGAGTCGTTCAGACTGTGCCTTGCCTCTCGGTCCAGGTTGAAATGATCAGCCTGTGAGGTTTCTTTCAGACGAGCGATCTCCTCTGCAGGCGTCTCCTGCTCCCTCGCCAGCTCCTGGTGCCTCAGAGAGGCCTCCAGCTCCTGGATGTCAAAACTCATCAAGTCATCTCTGCGCCTCATTTGGGACTAAAGGTCGAAAGCAAACAAGGAGAAAATAATCAATCTGAAATGCCGTGACAGGATCTGATTTAGCGTACATCTGACTTTAGCGCTACTTAGGTATGCTGGTCATCAAGCTACCTGCAGGGTGCGGAAGTGATTTTCTTTAGTGGTGAAGGAGTGACTGCGAGAGGGAGTGCTCTCCAGGCTGCCACCCCGAACGCCCAGGGCTCGCTTCTTCTCCCTGAGGGTACCTTGCTGGTGGCGACGGATCCTCTCCATCTGCTCCTCTACGCTCATTCTGGGCCGGCTGCCCTCTGCAGCACACAGCTGCTGCTCCGCTGCACTGCGTGGACGCTCCTGGCAAAAGATGGATAGAAAAAAAAACTAGGTTACACTTACAAAAATAAAATAAAAGCAACTAAAAATATGTACTTTAATGAAATGTATGCAATGTACTTTAGCTCTGAAGAGGAAGCTATTTAACAATACCATGAAATTACTATCACAATAATCAGCAATATGACACAAATGTCATCATGGTGGTGGAGTATTTTGCAAAGGTTGAGTTATGTTTGGTGCGACTGTGTATTTAAAAGGTGTTGTGCCCTGTTTAGGTCAGATTACATAATGCAGAATTCACTGTGAATACCAGGTACTGCTGAACACTCTAATCCAGTGGTTGCTAAAGTTGGGGTTGGGACCCAAAGTGGGGTCCTGAAACATCAAGGTGGGGTCCTGAAACATCAAGGTGGGGTCCTGAAAAGATTTTCTGAATTAATTACATTTTTGCCTTAGTTGTTACAAAGGAGTGAGGTTAGTATATTTAAAAT